ACATGGAGATGCTATTTCGGTAAGACTACAGAATACCGGATACCTTCCGCCATCTTTGAAAGCACGCGAGTTTACTTAGGGTTAGGGTAAGGTTTAGGGTTAGGGTAAGGTTTTTGGTTAGGGTTAGCGTTTGGGTTCGGGTGATGTGACACTAAACAATATGGCTGGTAGGTATCCGGTATTCTGTAGGTGTACCGCTATTTCCAGCCATAGTACCTGATAATTCAGGTATAATTAAACGTGTGGTATATGCTTGTAGTGCCTGTTTTTGAAACATTTTGATGATATTTGTGATGAATCTGTCGTGTTGATTCAATTTGGATGTATTTAATTCCACTATTTAACCTAAACTATCTTTTTGTGTGACATGTTGAAAATGCAGGGAAATCACCTATCATTGTGGTGATTGTTTTACGCACGGTTGACTATAATCATTTTTCTTACCAACTTTAGCATTCTATATATTTTGACTTGTTAAATGATATTTATGACAATCATTTCTATATTAGTCTTTTTAACACATGATAAAACAAGTTAATGTTGTTCTGGTTTTATACAGCTTTTTTTACATCTTGTCTGTTCTGTTTGATTCTTACCAAATATGTAATTATCCCCCACAACGCGTTTTGCGGGGGGTATTAAAATGGACTCCGTCCGTGCGTGCGTGCGTCCGTCCGTCCGTGCACATTTGTCTTTTCCGGAGCAGAACTCTAAAACCGTTCAATATTTCTTCACCAAACTTGGCACATACATGAATCTGGTGGTGTACTGGTGCCTTTTGGTAGTTTTGGAATTCTGAATAAAATATTTTTGGCTTTTCCATGGCAACGAGTTCGACTTTGACTGAAATTGGTCGTTGTGCTCTTTTCCGGAGCAGAACTATAAAACCGTTCAATGTTTCTTCACCAAACTTGGCACATAGATAGATCTGGTGGTGAACTGGTGCCTTTTGGTAGTTTTGGAATTCTGAATAAAATGTTTTTGGCGTTTCCATGGCAACAAGTTTGACTTAGCCTGAAATTGGTGGTAGTGCTCTTTTCCGGAGCAGAACTCTAAAACCGTTCAATGTTTCTTCACCAAACTTGGCACATAGATTGGTCTGGTGGTGTACTGGTGCCTTTTGGTAGTTTTGGAATTCTGAATAAAATATTTTTGGCATTTCCATGGCAACAAGTTTGACTTAGCCTGAAATTGGTGATAGTGCTGCTTTCTGGAGCAGAACTTTAAAAACCTTTCAATACTCTCCTTCCACTTTTCTATATACACACCTAAATATTTGACATAATCATAACTCGTAGAAAGTGTATTTTGCCATTGCGGGGGATATCGATGACTTTGTCTTCTTGTTTTATTGAATATGACTATGTGTTGATTGGCGTACACCATGAGCAGTTACAAGTGTTAAAAGCACAGTTTCACACATTTTCGACAATATTTTGGCCTATATTGTATATATTTTGGGATATGCATTCACTTTAGCTTCCTATTAATGCAATAAAAGACATATTATCTCTTGTGACTTACTTGAAATCAATAATGGAAACTTCGAGGCGAACAGCTTCCAAACAGATAACACTTGCCATATGTGGAATGTAAATGATTGCTCCGTACATAGAAAACTGTCGCACACGGTGTTGCTGCTGTTGGCTGAACTGGCCTCAATCACAAGTTGTGCGTAGGATATTCGTAAAGAGCGCTCCATTGGACATAAATCTATGGGGTTCGCTTGAAATAATGTTCGTCCGGTGGAGAGCACGAGAGTTGATTTAATGCAACGTTGCATTAATTCATTCAAACTTTATAATTTAATTTTGTAATCTTAATACATAATTTTGTATTCGAATAAATTATATGGTAGCTTCCCTGAGGGATGATAGTGAGTATTTTTAAGAGAAATGTGGTGTGGCATTGTACCTTTAAGAATATTCAAATGGGAGTATGCCTCCAAATTGTCAACGCATGGATATGCGTCAACTGGGGAATTAGCTCATAATTACGATGAAGTGTACGTACAATACGTTGACAAGACGAAGGCATAGTTGAGTTCAAACTTCTTTAGTTACATGACAAACAAATATACAAGACATAAATCAGGTGAGCAGAGTTCCTGCTCAACCCCAGGACATTTCCTACGAGTGGCATTATCCTCCTAGCGGTCATCCTTACACAAGCAGTCGGTATACCGGACTCGACTTTGTTTTTCAATGAATATGTGAGCATATATATATATACAGTTCTTGACAACAATGGACATGCGATGACTCAACAATGGACAGATAGAAAAACAGTAGCTTGACCTTGACCAGTTGATGTGATGGCAGACACGGCCAAGGGGGATGACCAATTAAGGTTATAAATGTCATATACAATAATTAATTGCCTGACAAGTCAATGTACAATGTGGAAGTGATAAGGATTACATAGAATACAGATTAGCATCATATAGATAATTACAATGAAGTCTCACATGTCTTCAGTACATAGTTTTTACATTTTAAATAGTTGGACGATGGCTGTCCTGAATTAGTCCCTATAACAGCTGCCTCGTAGATCAGTCCATTTTTCCTGACAAAGGAATTTAAGTCTTTTGCCGTTCCGTTGGCATGGATATATCAACCCTGAAGTAGATCAGTCCATTCCGTTGACAAGGAGGTATCTGTCCAATCCATGGCATTGATGTAATCTGGACATAAGGGAAAGGTCAGCTACATAGTTTAACATTGTCAAATCCATGACACTTATGTAATCTATACATTGTGGGAAAGTCAGCTACATAGTTGAACATTGTCCAATCCATGGCACTAATGTAATCTATACATTGTGGGAAAGTTAGTTACATAGTTGAACATTGTCCAGTCCATGGCACTAATGTAATCTAGACATTGTGGGAAAGCCAGCTACATAGTTGAACATTGTCCAATCCATAGCACTAATGTAATCAAGACATTGTGGGAAAGTCAGCTACATAGTTGAACATTGTCCAAACCATGGCACTAATGTAATCTAGACGTATGGGGAAAGTCAGCTACATAGTTGAACATTGTCCAAACCATGGCACTAATGTAATCTAGACATTGTGGGAAAGTTAGCTACATAGTTGAACATTGTCCAATCCATGGCACTAATGTAATCTTGACACAATGGGAAAGTCAGCTACACAGCTGAACATTGTCCAATCCATAGCAGTAATGTAATCTAGACATTGTCGAAAAGTCAGCTACATAGTTGAACATTGTCCAAACCATGGCACTAATGTAATCTAGACATTGTGGGAAAGTCAGCTACATAGCTGAACATTGTCCAATCCATAGCACTAATGTAATCTAGACACAATTGAAAAGTCAGCTACACAACTGAGCATTGTCAAATCCATAGCACTAATGTAATCTAGACATTGTGGGAAAGTCAGCTACATAGTTGAACATTGTCCAAACCATGGCACTAATGTAATCTAGACGTATGGGGAAAGTCAGCTACATAGTTGAACATTGTCCAATCCATGACACGTATGTAATCTAGACATTGTGGGAAAGTCAGCTACATAGTTGAACATTGGTCAGTCCATGACACTTATGTAATCTAGACATTGTGGGAAAGTCAGTTACATAGTTGAACATTGTCCAGTCCATGGCACTAATGTAATCTAGACATTGTGGGAAAGCCAGCTACATAGTTGAACATTGTCCAATCCATAGCACTAATGTAATCTAGACATTGTGGGAAAGTCAGCTACATATTTGAACATTGTCCAAACCATGGCACTACTGTAATCTAGACGTATGGGGAAAGTCAGCTACATGGTTGAACGTTGTCCAAACCATGGCACTAATGTAATCTCGACATTGTGGGAAAGTCAGCTACACAGTTGAACATTGTCCAGTCCATGGCACTAATGTAATCTTGACACAATGGGAAAGTCAGCTACACAGCTGAACATTGTCCAATCCATAGCAGTAATGTAATCTAGACATTGTGGGAAAGCCAGCTACATAGTTGAACATTGTCCAATCCATGGCACTAATGTAATCTAGACGTATGGGGAAAGTCAGCTATGTAGCTGAACATTGTCCAAACCATGGCACTAATGTAATCTAGACATTGTGGGAAAGTCAGCTATATAGTTGAACATTGTCCAAACCATGGCACTAATGTAATCTAGACGTATGAGGAAAGTCAGCTACATAGCTGAACATTGTCAAATCCATAGCAGTAATGTAATCTAGACATTGTGGAAAAATCAGCTACATAGTTGAACATTGTCCAATACATGACGCTAATGTAATCTAGACGTATGGGGAAAGTCAGCTATGTAGCTGAACATTGTCCAAACCATGGCACTAATGTAATCTAGACATTGTGGGAAAGTCAGCTACATAGTTGAACATTGTCCAAACCATGGCACTAATGTAATCTAGACGTATGGGGAACGTCAGCTACATAGCTGAACATTGTCCAATCCATAGCAGTAATGTAATCTAGACATTGTGGAAAAGTCAGCTACATAGTTGAACATTGTCCAATCCATGACACTAATGTAATCTAGACGTATGGGGAAAGTCAGCTATGTAGCTGAACACTGTCCAAACCATGGCACTAATGTAATCTAGACGTATGGGGAAAGTCAGCTACATAGTTGAACATTGTCCAATCCATGACACTAATGTAATCTAGACATTGTGGGAAAGTCAGCTACATAGTTTAACATTGTCCAATCCATGGCACTAATGTAATCTAGACGTATGGGGAAAGTCAGCTACATAGTTGAACATTGTCCAATCCATGACACTAATGTAATCTAGACACGGTTAGTTATATTTAATAAAAGGCAAGCTACACTTTCTAAATCCAAGGCTGCAGCCATATGAGTCTCTGTCAGGCGTAGTGATACGGCAGTGCAACCTCAGAGCTGGTGCTGGAGATCTGGTAAAAAGTCCCTGAAACTCAGCATCCTCCAAGATACAGAGAAGTGTGGTTGTAGCTGGAAGCAGGTGCCCGTTACCATGAGGGAAATTGTTCACAAACAGGTCGGCCAGTGTGGCAACCAGATTGGTTCCAAGGTAGGCTTACTTCGCCGTCTCATATGTATTTTTAAAAATCAAGAAATTAAACTTTGAATTTAGTGAGTGAGTGGATATGATTTTACGCCGCTTTTAGCAATATTCCAGCAATATCACGGTGGGGGACACCAGAAATGGGCTTCACATATTGGACCCATGTCGGGTATCGAACCCGGATCTTCGGCGTGACGAGCGGACGCTTTAACCACTGCGCTACCCCATCGCCAACTTTGAAGTAAGACGCTGCTTTTATATTGTGTTCAGATGAAATTAATTGCATTTAAATAAACAGAACAGCATCTTGAAATGAACATGTTAACATCGTAATTTCATGATATTTTGGTATATATTTAAAGCCAGAAGTATATTTAAATACTTCTTTTATATTACAGGGTTGACAGAATTGGATCATACATTTCGTGGCGTTAAATTTGTCATTTATTGCATCACACAAGATACTCTTTTCTGTACTCCTTTGTATTTCTCGCTTTGATGTGGTCGCTTTGCCTGTCTGTCATATGCAGGATTTGGTTGATGCAGAACTACCTACGTGCGTGACATATATTCACTTTCAGGAACACACATTTTCATTCACGTTGTAGTTTTTTTTCTTAATAATCTCCATATGTTCTGGCTTTCATGTCAATCAAGCAGCAATGATTGACATATGTATTCAGAAGGTGGCAAGTGGCTTACATGATATTCTCTTGCTTATTTCCGTCCTGTATTCAGCAGGAGGGCTTGAGTGTGGTGGCGGTAGGGTTGTTTGTCGACATGATGGTTGGTGGATTTCGTGTTGTATTTACATGAACTGGACGGAAATCTGGTGAAATGCTGTGAAGTGGTAGTATTCCGCGAGTTGAGCTCGTACATGTGTGTCTGAGTTACCACTGACTCGTAAAAGGACTCGTAGTAAGTGAGGTTAGGTTATAAAGAGACCATGGCTGACAAACGTCATCGTATCCCAATTGCGTAGATTGATGCTCATGCTGTTGATCACTGGATATAGCTGGATATTGCTGAGTGCGGCGTAAAACTAAACTCACTCACTCACTCACTCAAAGAGATCATTAGTTGTTATGCTCACGCAGTGAACTAGTCTCTAACAGCGTTGCAGTGTTGATCGTTTCAAATACCCCCTTTTAGGTTGCACGATAAATTATCCTGTAGAGAAGGAGAGAGATATGAATCTACGACACCAGGCATGAATTGACAACATATCCCTTCACAACGAGGCGGAGAGCGGAAGGTCGCTTGTTCGATCCCCGACCGCGTCATACCAAAAGACGTTAAAATATGGTACTTGTTGGTCCCTGCCTGACGCTCGGCATTAATGGGTACAACAAGGACTGGTCGGCTAGGAGTCAGTATAATGTGTCTGAGTGGGGTATTCATGCTTCACTGCGGCATGGTATCTCAGTGAGCTAGCACTATAAAACCAGCTAAAGTCTCGGCTAGTACAAGTAGCCGCACATACACATACACACGCAAGCACGTCGTCATATGAGCGAAATATTCTCAAGCACGACGTTAAACCCAATTTCACCTCACCTCACCTTCACAACGAGGACGTGTTTATCATCGTAACAAGAATCTTTGAAACACGCTTTGCAGCGACCATGTTTTCCGGACGTGTCACAATCTTCTCGAGGGTATCACAAATATAAAACGGTAAACGTCTGACAGCTTTATACGGTAGGCACATTGGAACCCGCCACTCGAATTATGTGTACTTCATAAAGGTAACGGGTTATTTCACCCCAAACACGTTCACCCCAGCACAGTTTCACCCCAGCCTGTTTCACCCCAAACGGTTTCACCCCATTTAGAGGTTGTATCACCCCAGTTTCTTCCAGTATTAAGCTTCGTGCATTCTCTGCTGCGGGTCTGATGAAGGAACGGGCTTGCGAACACGCATCACAAGACCAGCTGTCATTTGCTTCACGACGCATTACCCACAGGCCCTTGTGTCTTTGCGAGGATTAAAGATTTTCAAAAAATAATAAAAAAATTGAGATGACCCCCCGATATATGTTATATGTACTGTGAAGCATTTCGAGTCGGGGGTCATCTCAAAAATAATATTTTATCAATCTTTAATCCTCGCAAAGACACGAGGGCCTGTGGTAGTCAGTTCTTGATATTCCTGTTGGTTAAAAGTATTCCCATACAGGCAATATAGACAAGAAAATAGTCAGTTTAGGCCAGACCAATTGTATTTCTTGTTTTACGGATCCGCCGGTCGTATTTTTTCAAGAATAAGAAAAAAAATATTAATTGAATTTCTCCGCTCAAAAAATAAAATCTAGTGTTTTTATTAGCCAAAACTGTAAACTTACAACAATCTTTTTAGATTGTTTTTTTTTGCCCCATATACAGTTCATAAAGTGCCAAAAGTAAAATACTTTTTGTATTTAAAACGAATATTACTTTGACTGGTGTTTTTTAAATATATTTTTCTCCCACCTCTAGGTTTTCTGAGGACAAAAATCCGTAAAACAAGAAATAAAATTGGTCTGGCCTTAATGAATAATTACAATTTACAGATTAAATTTACTCATTGGATACTTAAAAGGTATCAATTTAACATTATTTATCAACGGGTATTAAGTATATAAGGGATGGGTCTATAAGAGCACAGTGTACTAACATGCATGCAACATTCTTATCAAACAGTTGTTACGACTAAGTATTACCGGTGCCAGATATTCCGTGTTGATGGCGATGGAAAGTTTCACACAGCAGTCCATCTTGACGCGGTCTTACTCTCTTCTTGCAGCCGAGCTGGAATTGGGTTGAAACAACCCGGGTGAAACCACTTGGGGTGAAACTACCTGGGGTGAAACTACCTGGGGTGAAACTACATGGGGTGAAACTACTTGGGGTGAAACTACCTGGGGTGAAACAACCCGGGTGAAACTACTTGGGGTGAAACAACCCGGGTGAAACTACTGCGGGTGAAACTACCTGGAACTACCTGGGGTGAAACTACTTTGGGTGAAACTACCTGGGGTGAAACAACCCGGGTGAAACTACTTGGGGTGAAACTACCTGGGGTGAAACTACTTAATAATAATAATAATAATTGATTTATAGAGCGCCTATTTCCAAAAGATATTGCTCAATGGCGCTATGAAGAGAAAAGATTGTAGACAATGTCTATGGAAAAGAGAGTTTGAACAGATGAGTTTTGAGGGCAGTTTTGAAAGCATCAGCAGATTCTATTTCTTTTAGGGTGAGTGGTAGAATGTTCCAGAGATAGGGGGCTGCAGCAGAGAACGCTCTTGATCCCATGGCTGTTTTGACGTGAGGCTGTGTAAGCAGTAGGGAGTTTGATGAGCGGAGCAATCGGCTTGGAACATGGAGATGAATGAGGCTTTTAAGATATTGAGAAAACATGTTTTCATAGATGCAGCTGTGTGTAAGAAGAAGAAGTTTGTATTGAATTCTGCTTGATACAGGAAGCCAGTGAAGAGTTTGGAGGATAGGTGTCACAGTTTGGTAGCGTGGTGCACGGGCAACAACACGGGCGGCTGAATTCTGAATCCGTTGGAGTTGTGAAAGGAGCGGTTCGGATCTTGCTAATATTGAAGATATGGTAGAAACATCCTTTGCTGAGTGAATTGATTTGATTTTCGAATGACATTGTTGATTGAAAGATGACACCAAGATTTTTTGCAGAGTCGGACTGCGTGATAACATCTTGTCCAATTTCAAGAGATAAACTGTCAGGCACTTTGGAAAGTTGATGCCTGGATCCGATGGTTAAGAACTCAGTCTTTGTGTCATTCAATTTCAGAAAGTTCAAGGTCATCCAGTCTCTTATTTCAGCAATACATTGTTGTATCATCAGTGCACAACCTTGAGCAAGGTTAGGCTCCGCTGACAGATATAACTGATTGTCATCAGCATAAAGATGAAATTTCAGTGAGTGCTTTCGGACAATGTCACCAATGGGAAGAATGTACAGACTAAACAGTAAAGGTCCAAGGACAGATCCTTGGGGAACGCCATAGTGGAGTGGTGACGCAGTGGAGAGTACAGATTCCACTTTGACGGACTGTGACCTATCAGATAGGTAAGAACGTACCCAGTCAAGGACAATTCCATCGATACCGACTCTGACCTTCAGACGCTGCAGAAGAATTTGGTGATCAACAATATCAAAAGCACTGGGGTGAAACTACCTGGGGTGAAACTACTTGGGGTGAAACTACCTGGGGTGAAACTACTTGGGGTGAAACTACCTGGGGTGAAACAACCCGGGTGAAACTACTTGGGGTGAAACTACCTGGAACTACCTGGGGTGAAACTACCTGGGGTGAAACAACCCGGGTGAAACTACCTGGGGTGAAACTACTTGGGGTGAAACTACCTGGGGTGAAACTACCTGGGGTGAAACTACTTGGGGTGAAACTACTTGGGGTGAAACTACATGGGGTGAAACTACTTGGGGTGAAACTACTTGGGGTGAAACAACCCGGGTGAAACTACTTTGGGTGAAACTACCTGGGGTGAAACAACCCGGGTGAAACTACTTTGGGTGAAACTACCTGGAACTACCTGGGGTGAAACGACCAGGAACCCTTTATAAATATCAATTAAGCGGAATTGAAGTACTTTAATCAATCTTTTATTTACGGTACTGAACAGGCCATAGGCCTATAGTACATTTTTACATACAGTAGCAAAGTGAGTGAGTGAGTGAGTTTAGTTTTACGCCTCCCTCAGCAATATTCCAGCTACATGGCGGCGGTCTGTAAATAATCCAGTGATCAACATTATGAGCATCGATCGCCCCAGTTGGGATACGGTGACATGTGTCAACCTAGTCAGCGAGTCTGATCACCCGATCTCGTTAGTCGCCTCTTACGATAAGCATGGGTTATTGCAGATCAATTCTAACCCGGATCTTCACGGGTTACAGTAGCAAAGGGCGCAGTAGAAATAAATTTATCATAAATAATAATATCGCATCTGTAATGCAGAGGATGGGACAT